CGTCACTGTACTGAAGCAGCAGCCTTATTTTCACTTTGGGATTTTGACACCTGGCTCTGGCGAGATCAGAATTTTCATTATTAACAAAATACGTTGTTTGACTAGGTGCATCAGACAAATGTCATCTTAAAAGTTGGACTTTTGAACAGCAATTTGATTATGAAAGGTGTTTCTACTATGAGAAAAATGTACAAGTCATTTGGTTATAAAAGTTTTTGGTTTCTACAGAGGTAAAGGATTGATGAATTCTTGGCCCACATGTTACAAGTCAACAAGGAAAGTGTATACATTCACCGAAGCAGAGACAAGACTTGAGGTTCTCTCTATTAATATAGGTCTAAGCCAAGAAAGGAGTCCTGGTGTGGCCCTGTGGGTCAATGTGCCAGACTACAAAGCCATTTGAATTGCAAGGACAGTGGTTCAAGGTCCCCAGCTTCTCCACGGAAACCCTATACATGGTTGCTATGGGTCAGAATCGAATGGATGGCAATTAACAACAACAACAAAGCCAATAACATAAATTCATGACCACAGCTTCTTAACTCTCCAGCTTGTTTTTAAATGCTAGTAGCTTTCTTTGTCACATAAACACAGAAGCATCACAGGACATACATGTAGAATACTGGAACAATGTCATAATCTCTTCTGAAGATAACAGCCCTCTTCTTGAGATAGTTCTGGCTGGCTATTTTTGTTAAGCACCATTGAGTCAGTTCCAACTCATAGCAATCCAATGTAGGGTTGGGAGGAACAGCTAGTGAGTTTCACTCACCAACCTTGTAGCTCCACCCGTCCTACTGTTCCAGTGCTTCATCCTAGAATACAAGCATAGGACACAGGGGCTAGCTAAACCCTTGACAAAACCAAATAAGCCATAGGACATCAAGCAGCCATGTGATGTGCACTTCCCTTTATGACTGAGTTGTGTCTGACCCACCAAGTCACAAATTCATGGATATCAGGATCTCATCATCAGGTAGAAATAGATATACAAGCTGAACGTTGACTGTGGTCTGGTGGTAGATATAATCCTTCCTGTATAAATCTGCCCATTAACCTGATCTCAGTCACAACCATTGGTGCCTTGAGTTTCCCCATATCTTCCCCTTCACCAGACTTGACAGTTTGTTATGTCTGTTTTCAGACAAACCACACACGGTTGGACAGCTGGGTCTCCGCTATGCAAGTTTTTGTATAGGGCTGTACCACTGTGGGAGGAGCTTGTGTATATTGCATGCAGTAATAAACTGCAATATCCTCAGCCTCCACTCTGCTGATTTTTAGAGTGAAATCTGTAACTGCCCCACTGCCAATGAACCTGTCTGGGACCCCAGTGTACCGGTTGGAAGCCCAAGAGATCAGGGCACGTGGAGTTTGGCCTGGCTTCTGCTGGAACCAACTCAAATAGGTCTTTCCATCACTATGTACAAGGCTCTGACTTGACTTGCAGGTGAGGGTTGCTGGCTGTCCAAGTGTGATGGACAGGCTGAGTGGAGTCTGGGTCATCACAATATCCCCACTTGTTGCTA